GCTTGAAAAAATAAAATAAAATAAAATAAACAAATAAAAAAAAATTATGAAATACAATAAAAAGAAGCAATAATAAATAAAACTAGAGCAAAAAAATAAATAAAAAAAGTTAATTAAATAAAACCAATTAAAATAAAATTAATTTGCTCAAAATTAAATTGAGTTTATTTGAGGAAAATGATGAAAATAAAAAAGAATAATTACAGTAATAAATTAAAAATGTAAATAACAAATTAAATATAGTAAATATATAAACAAAAATAAAATGAAATAATAGGAAAATCATAGATAAAGTAAAAACAATTAAAGTAAATTAAAATTATTTTTATTGGATGAATTAAAAAAAAAAATAAAAATATAAAAATTAAACATCGTAAATATATAAACAAAAATAAAATATGGTAATGGGAGAAATATGAACTAATTAATACAATCAAAACAAAATAAAATTAAACATTAAGTAAATAAATTAAAAGAAAATAATAAATTTAAATTAATAAAAAATAAAATGAAATAAATAAATAAGTAAAAATAAAGTGAAGAAATAGGAAAATTTCGAATAGAAAACAGCCAACAAGATAAAATTAATGGTTTTACTTAATCAAAATTTAATTAAAAGTAAGTCAAAAAATAAGTGAAGTAAATAAACAAACAAAAATAAAAAAATTATAACAAGTTGAATAATTTAATAGCACTTATAAAAAAATTAAATAATACCAAATTTAATAGATTTAATTAAACCAAATAAAAAAATTAAGATTAAAAATAAAGTAAAATAAGTGAATTAAAAAAAACTTAATTTATTTATAAGATAATAAAATAAATAAATGATATATATAAACTAAAATAAAATAAATATATGAATAAGATAATTAAATTACAACAAAATTAAATTCAATCAAATTAATGAAAAGAAAAGAAAAAATTAAATGAAAATAAAATAATAATCACAATAATAATTATACCTACATGTACATATGTATGTATGTATATTTATACATCAAGAGCTTCAGATACATACATATGTATATATGTACATATGTATGTACATACATATAATAAGCTGCAATTACTGCGACAACAGCGGTAATAAGCGGACGTAATATTTATAAGTGCTGTTGAGGCGGGAATTAAATCACTTTACTTTGACTTGGTTTAAGTATAACTGACTCCACAATCTGTAGAGCGTTTATTTATATAAATTTGTAATGTGAAAATTTACATGCATGCATATGTGTACATAAGTATGTTTACATTAGAAGATTACCCACGAATAGATAATCTTATCTTATGTTTTAATTTTTATTGCTTTACATATTCATGATAAGAACATCAGTATACATAGATGCTTATGTTGTTGTAAAGGCATCAAGTATCAATATTCATATCATGAGTATGTGTATATGGACATCTGTTTGTACTTTAATTTTTATTGCCTGGCCTATAAATGTCATACAGCATATGAATTTATGGCCATACATTTTAATTGCTGGCTTATCGTTTCGGAAAACTAAACAAATGTCATACAGCATATGAATTTATGGCCATACATTTTAATTGCTGGCTTATCGTTTCGGAAAACTAAACAAGTGCTATCACAACAACAATAAGAAAACAACTTAAAACGCACAGCAACGCATAAGATTAAAAGCGTAAAAATATATAGTAAGAATACAAGAAAAAAAATGAAAAAAAGAAAATAGTGAAAAAATAGTACCGTCCGTTGCCACTGTCGCCGGTCTCTTTTCATTTATTTTCTTTTTTTTCCCCCAATGGTCACTGTGTACTCGTACCTACAGACTCGTATGTATATGAGATGCTCATACATGCGTAGCGAGCGAATACTCGTTGATAGTGACGATCAATTCGTGAGCTAGAGATATTTTTCCAACTTAAATGCATACATACATATGTACGTGTACATGCGAGTATGTAGGTACGTACTTCGTTGGCAACCGGCTAGCAGATACGCAACACAGCGCAACGCAAATTATGCGTACAAAAGCAAAAAAAAAAAAGCGCAGATACATAACAAAGCAACACTCTCGATCAGGCGTTGCGTTGGAGCTTTGTGGCCCCATCACCGGTTAGTGTGGCTTGTTAAATTTAGTTTCGGTTCCAGTTGTGATCTATTCGGTACATTTTGGTGGATTGACGTTGCAATAATACATTTTTTTTGTAATGCAATTAAATTAATTCAGTGAAATGAAGTAGTGATCCAAGTGTTAAAGAAGCTGTAAATAAAAACACGCTTCAATTTAGACTTACATACAAACAAAAATATGTACATACATATATGTGTACTCAAATATAGTTATAAGCTTATCATTCGCTTCATTTTTGTTTTCGCCCCTTCAATTGAAACGAATTGAAGTGGAAGCTGTTGAAGGGAAATAAGAAAGCAGCGGTAGTGTGTTCAGCAGAAAGGAAATGGCTATGTGGTCAAGTTAAAGTTAATATGTACATACGTACGTCCATACATATGTGTGCAGATCATGAATTTGTGGCTGATCTCAAGTTTCTCTTAATGTGAAGTGGTAAATAAAAGGAAATAAATAAGTTCCGCAAATGAATTGTGATTAATGACTCCAAGAGCAGAAAAAATACCTTATTACTAAAATGAATACAAAAAATAAATGCTAATTAAGAATGCATAAAGAAATTAATTAATACGAATATGGTTGTTTAAAAATGTTTGAATGTATGAATGCTGTACGTAGAAGAGATTAAAAAACAAATCTTTCAACGAGTTCAGATCAACAATATAAAATCTGAAAGGAATTAGATAAAATAGAAACAAATTAAATAAAATAAAAATAAAATAGTGAAATACTGAATAAATTAATTTAAAAAAATCAAAAATAATGGGAACAAGGTAAAACTAAATATAATAATAATAAATAAAAAATCATAATATAATTAAAGTATAATATAAAAAAGAAAATTAAGTTAAACGAAATATAATAAAATTAAATAAATAATTGTGAAACAAAACCAAAAAAATAATATAGCGAAATGAATAAAAATACATTCAATAAAATAAAATGAAAGTAAATAAAATTAATTCATTTTGTAAGTAATTCAATAAAATTAAAAAATTATAAAAATAAAATATATAAAATAAATAAAAAATGGAATGTACTATAGAATGAAATATCATAAAATATACTTAAAAAAAATAAAGAAAACGAGATCAAATAAAAAAATATACGAAATACAATTAAAACAAAATAAGATATAACGAAATAGAATTGATAACGTTAAATTTAATTCAATTTAAGATAAAAAGTATAAACATAAAATGAATATATGAAATAGATAAAAAAGTAAACGCAGTACAGAATAAAAATTATTATTAGTAAAATAAAATATAAAACTTAAATAAACGAACAAAGAAACAGAGAATAATGTAAAATAAATAAAATAAACAAAATAACGAAAGGAAGAATAAAAAATAATAAAATATATTTAATTAATAAAAAAAAATAAAAAATTATAATATAACGTTGTAAAACCAAGTCAAATATAATGAAAAATTTATGCTAAAATATACAATATTAAAAATTAATAAATAAATAAATAATTAAAATAAATCAAAGTGAGATTAAATAAAATAAAACAAAGAAAACTAACCAAAGTAAGTTAAAACCAAATTTACAAACTTTATTTTAATCAAAAATGCTATTTAATAAAATGCAAAAGGTGTTAAATTAAATAAAATATATAAAATAATAAAATTATATAAAATTGAATAAAGAATAAAAGAAAACAATTTAAAGCAATATAAAACAAAATTAAATTTTATAAAGTAAAATAAAATAAAATAAAAAATGAAATTAATTTATATAAACTAAATTAATTAAACTGAAATTAAGTAAATAAAAAATAAAATAAAATTAAATCAAACAAAATAAATTAAAATAAAAAAATAAGATAAAAAGATAAAAAAAAATAAGATAAAAAAAAAGATAAAATAAAGTAAAATGAAATAAAATCAATGAAAGTAAAATAAAACAAAATAATTTAATTGATATTTAAATAAAATAAATTTAAATAAAATGATATTAAACAAAATGAATTAAAATTAAATAAAATAAAAAAATTAAATTAGATTAAATTAAACAAATTAAAATTAAATAAATAAAAATGAAATAAAATCAAATCAAATCAAACGAAATAAATTAAAATGAAATAAAATAAAATGAAATAAATAAAGTAAAATAAGATAAAAATAATAGATAATTGAAATAATATAAAGTATATTAAAAATTATACAATAAAAATAGAATGAAATGTAATAAAATGAAGTTAAGTTAAGAAAAAGAAAGTAATAAAAGGGAAATAAATTTAAACGAAGTGAAAATGAATAATACAAAATAAAAATTAATAAGGAGAAGGGAAGGAAGTAAAGTAACATAAGTTAAAGTACACCAAAAAAAAATGAAATAAATTAATTGAAAATAAAATAAAGTGAAATATATTTTAAAGAAAGTTTTGTGTTCATTGGTCGTAAAATTAATAATTTGTGTTTTCCAATAACCAACTCTCTTTCGTTTCCTCAATTGTGAAGATAATGATAAAAATATTTTCAGTGGTAAGGCTTAAAAGTTAGGTTGAGTTGAGTTGAGTTAATGCGGCTGCTGATCAACACCAGCACACTTAGGCCAATAGGCTCATTGTAAAAAATAAGTTAAGTTATAAAAAAAAATTAATAATTTTTGAAAACGGTTTTTGAGTCAAAATGATGAACAAACCGTTTGCAATTATTAAAATTATTATAAATTAATTATTATTTTATTGAAATAGCCTTCAGTGAATGTATGCACATATAATATGTACATAAGCACAACAACGAACAAGTTTTTGCTCAAATAAAATATTTTCATGAAAGAAATTGTGATAAATTAGTTTTCTTACTCAATACAAAAAAAAAACCAACAAAAACCAAAAATAAATAAATAAACAAATGCAAAATCACTCGAATAGTGTCAATATGTCAGCGCAACATAAAAACCAAACCAACAGCAATCACACTATGTCCAACAGCAAACCACAACAACAATCATTTACCAACAAACCACTGCTGCTGCTGAGCATATTTACGTTGATTTGGCCTACCCACGGTTTCAATTTTGCAAATCAACCGAATATTGCAATTCCAGCGCCGCAACACTTGAAATTCTTCCAACCACAAACACGCAGTTCCTATTTCGGTTATACGCTGGTGATGCGACCGACGAGGTGAGTTGTTAGTGTATTTTTGTAGTATTAAGCATATATATACTTGTACTAAAATCAATGAATATACAATTATGGTTGTTTGAATCTCTTTTTTCTAAAATGAAACTCATATGCAGATACAGTACATAAATAATTTTGTGTTTTTGTTGTTTTTTTTTTTGTGAGGCTTAAATTGCTGATTGCAAAAATTAATTGATTCCCATGGTTTCCACTCAGCTCATTCATGGATGGCTCGCTTATTGCTAATAAAAAAATCTTAAGAGATTTAGCGAGAAGCAGAAAATTGAGTAAATTATGAAAAAAAAAAAATTTTTAAATATAATAATAAAATAAAGGGTTTTCCAATAAAAGGTTATTTCTATACATATTTAAAGAAAAATGCCATTTTTTGTATAAATGATCGGATGTGTAGTTTAATATAAGGAAGTTGTCCTTTTTATGAAATTTTCCATCACAGAATTGCAAAAAGACTTCTGTATGCCCTTAATAGCCTCATAAATCCCGTCTTTGAGGTCTTGTATTGGCCACCGGTCGATTTTTTCACTCCCATATTTAATTTCAAAGTTTATATCTATCTGCTTAGAGCAGAACCATTGCATAACAAGCAAAAAATCATTTCAGTTCTTGATATTTCTGCAGTTCCTACATAATCTTCTACAGGCCATCCTATGTAGCAGTGCCGGGCTTGGATTCCAATTACCTTTTAGCGGACTTCCTCATTCACAGAATATGAGCCTTTCGAACTTTTTCGGTTTCATTACGTGCAAATTTGACTAATCTTGCAACAAGTCTTAAAAAAAAACCTTTAGTAGCCTTTTGCATGTGACTAGAGGCGTACTAATGCGCTCTTTATCCATTCGAATGAGCTTGGTTATACTTTGCCTGTGAAATTCCTATACCAGCGAATTTCCCTTTATATATTTGCGACCAGGGATCCAAAGGAGTGATAGTCTGTTCTGTTCAGCTATCTTCTGTAGTGGTCTGTGGTGGCCCAGAGACTTTCGGGATTGAATCTAGAGCTTCTGATGTTTTCAAACTCTCACTGAAGATGGCAAAGTTTCTCTTCTGGAGTATTCGTTTGCAATGTGCTGAGCTTGAATAAGTATTCCAATGATGTTATGTAAGAAAATACCACCTCCTACTTTACCATCATGTTTTGAACCATCTGCATAACCCTCAATACTCTCGGCCGGATCATCATATCAGTTTTACCTTTCTTCCTTCCCTGGATTCCATTAAATTTAAACGGAAACAGACAGAAAAATTTGTATTTTTCATGAAAATTCGAATGTTCTGTTGGCTTCACTGCTTCTGTTTCCTTAAGCCGGCAGCGGTGCTTTCTGTGCGCTTAGATCTCTTTTAAGTGGTTCTAAGCGTCAACAAACCCCCTACTGCTTATAAATTCTGTTCATTTAATTTTACCAAAAAGATTTGCGTTTTTTTCTCCATGATGGGAAACCCCCCTACTACGCTATATATGTAAGAGGAGTGATCTTATAACAGTTATGAAAATCCAGCGGTAAATTTTAAGACTTAACCAGCTCTCAGCCCTAGACGAACTTTATTTAGGACTAGTTTTCGTAACGACAGAATTTGATATATTAAAGTCCTTAGCGATTAGACCATAATCCGTCGGCCGTTCGGAGGCGGCTTAGTACAAATTGTAGGTTTTTCCATTTGTTGGGCAAGTATTAAGTCGCAAAACCACAAATTGGAGGAGGAGCTCGGCCAAAAAAACGGTTCAGCGGTTACAAAGCGCCATACAATATATATATATATATATATATATTTGAAAATTTCGCTTATTTTATTTTTGTATTTTTATCTCCAAAACTGAATCATAATAACCATAAATTTAATTTCAATTTTGCATTTCAATTAGGTTAATTTATTATTGGTATTTAATTACTCCACCCTCTTGGACACACCTCCAAAGCCACATAAAATTAAAAAAAAAAATACTCCATAGAAGAACAAAGAACAATTAAAAAGTTTATTAACTGCAGATTTTTATTGCGTAAGAAACTGAAAAAGTACATAAAAACAACATTTGCACTGCGTAACGGTCAGGCGTCTACATATCTATTTTATATACAAATATATCTTTTTCCTTACCTCTTTCAAGCAAACTTTACTGTACTCAAAATAAAAAAAATTATCTAAGTTTATTTAGAAAATCACGAAAAATTACGTCAGTCTACATGCGAAGAATTATAACGAAATTTGTTGTCATTAAAATTCGCACATAAATTCTTTATTCAATTAACGAGTCGCTAGAGAGTTTCAAGCGGAGACCTGCTCGCTAATTTTTGGAAGAGAGTTGAAGCTGCAAAAAGCCGAGTCGAAAACAAATTAGGAAGAAAATATAAATAAATGCACATATATATATATATTTAATGCGCATATATGTATGTATATAAATATGATTCGTATATAATTGTTGGTTATGAATTGCCAAACTTTAAATATTATTGCAACAAGTTCTCAAATTACTCCTCCTCGTTTATGAAATTGTTAGTCATTAAAAAATACGTAATATTTTTAAAAGTTCAAATTGAATTTAATTAAAATTTTAGAAGGTAATTTCCAGTTTTTTGAATTAGTTTTGATGATGAATAGAAATACGAAAATTGCAGCAACGAGAAACCGATGACGAGCTAAGCCTTTCTGAGAACGTTTCTTTATGGCCTTTACAGAGACTAGTTTTAAGGTAGATATTTTTTGTATTTGTATATGAACTCTGTTCTAAAGTATGTAAGTACCAAAAAGAGAAGAGACCGACCAAATTTTATACCGACCACATGACAGAAACTAATCCCACAGTTTGTGAATTATTTCAACGAAGTACGGTACACAGATCATTTTTAGGAACTGGCTTTTGCCAGTAGCATATAGTACTCTGAGCTTCGCGCGTTTAATATTTTGGGTTAATTCTTTTTTTTAATGTTCGTATCACTGTTATTGATATCTACGCCAAGTTTCATGTCAATGTCATTATTGGTATTTTAGTTACGCTTGTGTTTACTAAACAACTAAAAGTGCCATCTTGGTTTTCGCATCACGATAATGCACAGAGCACTCATTCTTCGTGAGCATTTCGCTAAAAATTCCAAGAAAATTGTACTCCAACCACCGTATTCGGCGGACTTAGCAGCACGTGACTTCTGGCTCTTCCAAAAACTCAAGAGACCACTTTGAGGACATCGTTTTGAGTTGATTAAGGAGATTACTCAGGAATCGACATGCTCTCTGAAGGCCATACCAGAACGTGACTATTTGACATGGTTCGATAATTGGAAAATGCGTTGGCATAAGCGCATTGCATGGGCAGGAGACTATTTTGAAGGCGACGAGATCGATGTAGAAGAATAAATAAAGATTTTTATGATTTTGCGTATTTTTATGAAACGTAAGCGTTTAACCTTTCCGTCCGCCATGACATGTTACAGTCTAGGTATTTCCAATATTTTCGCGAAACTTTTTAAATAAAATTAAAAAAGTAACTCTCGAAGTGGCTTGTCCGTCTGTCAGCATTACTTACGTTCAACAACCATAATTAATTCACCAACTATTTCTGAGAAACAGGTATTATGAATCTATCTAGGTAATTTAACTATTTGATGTGATATCAACGTCATGCCTTAGAACTTTCCGAAGTGTAAGACCATGTGCTTTTCGCTAAGACTTCTACAACATTCTCCTTATAAAATTTGTAACTGTAGTGTAGAACAAGTGTAGAACTTTGTTGATTTTGGGGTTATGATGGATCTTAAGCTCAACTTTTATCGTCATATCAATACCACAATCTTAAGAGCTAAATATGACTTTGCCTTTGTCAAAATGACCCTTACGTAACTAAAGTGCTTTATACGACTTTGGTGAGGCCAATATTATATATACGGATATGGAACCTCAATTATCATGTTCATTCCAATAAGTTAAAGTCTGCCTTCCCTACACCACCGTTTGAGCATATGATGTCAAGCTCTTTAAAACAATTCATTCTATTGAAGATAGAGAGCTTTTGCAACTTGACCTAAATAATTTAGTTAGGTGGTGCGATGCGAACTGCATGCCTCTTAATTTAAATAAATGCAAATATATGTATGTGTTTCTCCAGAAAATCTTTCCAATCTTTTGCCGGACTGTTACTGGTTTTCGGTCACCGGTCTTTTGGATTTCTCGATTATCTCTCAGAGGCGTCCCTCGCTCGGTTGGGCGGAGGGGTGGGTAGTGCTGAGTTCGTCCTTAGAAAAAAGGAGCTTTTAAATCTACTTACTCTCGCAAGCCATAGAGAATTGTTGAGCGCCTTATTCGTAGTGAACTTCTGAAAGGCATAAGGACTTCGACATGGGGGAAGATAACTCCCCTTTCTTGTTTTAATGTTGACTCCGTTTAATCCCTTAAGTACTCTCCAGTGCACTATTTAGAATGGTAACACTTTTCCATTATGATTAACGAATATTTCGTTATGAATCCTCTCATTACATTCTAAAATGGTATACGGGAGCATTGTAAAGTCTTGTCTTGTTAGCGTCTTTATTTTGAAACCACTATCGAAAACTTTTCTCTCAGTTCCTTAGGGCTCAGTGGTAGTAAATTTTTTGCAGGGAATTTATAGGGCTAAATTTTCTTTGCAAGACCGACCAACTAGTCAATACCTTGAAATTCTTATTTTCTTTTATATTCTTTCATATTTTCTATGTTTTATTTTCTAAAAAGGAAAACTGGGTTTTTTGGAAATTTCATATTGCGCTGTTGCCATTTTTCCCACTGAAAGAACCTCGCTTGCAGTTATAAAAGCTCATCGATAAATTTTATAGGAACTCCCAGTGTTTATAACACAATTATCATTTGTGATCCATCTGCAAGTTCAACGACATTTTTTTACAAATGTATTCACATAAATAAATATAAATATATACATATGCAATGTTGGCTTGTGAATATCTGTATATCACAATTTGTTAGCGAGTCTTTTTTTGTAGAAATTTGATAAG